ATTCTGGAGCTTTTTACAGTATAGAAAATGCTAAAGCTTTTTACCCTTTCACGATTCTTACTGCAGCTGATAACTGTAAAATATATGTTCTTGTTGGGCTGATATCTTGACTTTAGAATAATTAGAATACATATAATAATAAATTGCTTTAAATTAAAAGATTTTTCATGTGATTTTTTATTTCATGAAATTTTGTTACTACCTAAATCATTTAAGATTTGAACTAAATGATTTTGAATCTATAGGATTCTGAATTCCTCTACAACATAGAAACTAACATTATTTTGCGTAGACTGTTCATTAATTCAAGATTCACTGCGTATCAACAAGTAATATAAGAAAACACATTTCTTCATACAATATAAGAAAATATATCTTTTTTTCCTTCTTAACATTTAATGTATTTCTTTTTTAACAAAATATCAATGCATTTTTTAATTGCAGGTAGGTTAGTTTTGAAATTTCAATGATTTTCAACTCGGTCAATCACTCTTTCGGCTAAATCATCAATATTCATAGTTTTACTATGCTTGAGAATATCAAGAATGGCTCTCTATATCATATATAGAATTATGTTTATAATTTTTAAAATAGGTACAGTGGAAAAAATATACAATTTAAATTTACAAAACTGTATCAGAATCTTTTGTTCTTCGGCGATGATTTTTATTTGGGATTCCTTTTCTTTTTGTTCGGATTGAATTAGATTTGACACATTTAAATTGATACGACTTTTCTTACTAGTATATCATATAAAGCTTTAATTATTTAAAGATTTTAAGTTAAAAATAAATTTACTGCACTTTTCAAATTACTGTGTCCACTGATTCTCATACACCACACCGAAAATCAATAAATGCAAATCTGTGGTTAGTTAAAAATAATGTTTAACCAATCATGTATTTGTATTTTTTCTAGGTTTCTGATTCCCAGTGTGATGTATGAAAATCAGTGGACACAGTAATTTGAAAAGCGCAGTAAATAAGGTTAAATATTGATAAATCTTTGAAAATTCGTATTCAATTCATAACAAAACAAGAATCACCAACGTCAATATCAATAACTAGCTTTAGAACTTTGGCTTTGACAAGGGTTCTTAAGGTATCTGTTAAAATATCATCATTCAAATCTATTTTTTTGCTTCAACTCTTCAAATGTATATGAAATCTCTTTATTGTATTGCAAAAGAATGCTCATTTGATACGTGGACACCTAGAAAGTAATACAAATTCGTGTTTGAGTTGAAAATATAATCACATTATTATTATAATTTAAAAGTAATCAACTAATTAATCAACTAATTAAGAATTTTTTATGTACCAACCAGGAATGTATAAGCTTTTTTTGTTGAACTGTAATAATTAGCCTTTATTTCACCTTTTGAAAGATGAAATAACCAATTAAGCTT